TTAGTATTCATTACTGCGCAATTATCTCAGTTATCCTATTGCAAATCTTCATGAGCAAAGATATACCGTTGACAACTGGACCGAATTGGTACGTTTGACAAAAGCAAACTGTATCAGAAACGTTGGTTATGTACCTCCCTTCGTGGCCCGATCTACTTGTACATTGCGGATGGTATGATCTAATGCAGCTAGAACAGGTTACTCCAATATTAAGAACTACACCGCATTTCCCTATAGTCATACGCGGCGTTGTACTATGTTCTTAAAGCTCGTAGAGGGGAGAAAACCGCGAGAAGTCAATAAATCAAAAGGATATACACCGTTAAATTAGAAACCATTTGTTAACTGAAACGAATTAAGCTAGGAAACATTTAGGCTATTAGTATAGGGGTACGTCAGCCACCGGACAGACAGTAGCTATTGAGTAAACCGAAAACGAAAATTTGGAAAACGGACAATGGGCAACACAGCAACATGTCATTATCTAGGGAACCTATATTGAACAGCAGAGTGCGTTAAGGCAAATCGGTAAGAATTAGGGTATGGACAATTTTGCATAACACATGATCAATAAAAAGGCAATGATTAGTGTATAAAGCTGTTGGTTATCTAGAAGGTTATAGTCACTTTCAAAAGCTGGCTAAAGCAATAAATTTAAGTCACAAAAGCTTTTGTGAGTTAAGAAATTTGCCGTGGATGCAAGACAGTAAATTCCAAGGCCTCACTGGTTTGGTAACTTTTGTATGTTGCCCTGCACTGGCCGCAAGGGTTGCCAGTCATAAGCCTCCCAAAAGCGAGATATTAAGAGCAGAGATATGTTAACACAATCAATCTTTCTGAGACCTATGGATCTCGATGGCAGCTAAACCATAGTTCTTTCCTGGTCTGGCAATAATAGCATCCAAATTCTTAGCTTCGCTCTTCCATAATGCCTCGTGATTTTCCCACTGCCCTTTAACGCCATGGCACGACAGTTTCGGCAATTTTTGTAACAGGTTGCGCGACTCACTCTATGTGATAGAGTAGCCGGAATTTGCGTTCAAGCCCAAGGAGTCATGCGACAAATTTCTTTCCTCTTGTTCAAAACCTACGCTCTGTATAAGAACTTTGGAAGATTGGGCGTAACACGTGCCGTTAACATGACGGTTTAACTTTTGTTGCATAACTTTAAACTATCAGGCTTGCTTTTTAGATCCGGTTTAACGGCACGCTTTAATTCATTGCTTTTATCGGTACTCACCACAATACTGGCAAGCTGATGTATCACATGCAGTCTTTGTTCCACGTTATGTTCACTATAATTTTGTCGACGACTTGTTATTGGTGCTAAAACTTTAATAAATAAATGTGCCTTGGCGTGTCCGTTGCACGCCTCTAGACCAGTGGTGGTAAATTCAGGACCACATGACGGTCGCAAGAGCACCTTTTGGTAGCATGAGAGCCGCAACCTACAAGTAATTTGAGTCAATGCATATGTAAAGAAAATATGTTGACTGCTCAAACTTATGGATTGATACGGTGCATACAATTGATTTAGCGGTTTGACACATGCATGAATACAAACTAATAAAATAGTGTAACATGGGTACAATTTTAAATATCAACCTAGACTTTTACGCAAAATCAACAATTGCATTTTACAAATATTGCAATAGTTCAACATGAGCATTTGTAGCATTTTTCCTGAGAATGAGATATCTTTTAATATCATAGGATGGATGGGAAACTTCCACTTTAAGTTGCGCCTTCAGGTTGGAGTTAGAGATTCATTTTCTGATCCAATTGGAGTGGGCTGCGGTGCTTCACAAGAGTCAGTGTTGGGACCGCGGTTATTCTCCATTTTTATTAAAGATCTTGCGAGTATCATCAAGTCAAATTTCCTGCTTTTTGCCGAGGACCTCAAGATATGCTTGGAAATCGACTGTCATGATGATCACAAACTGTTGCAACGAGACAGACTGCGCTTTTGAATAGTCAAAGCTAAATCTACTTCCGTTTAACACGAATAAGTGCAAAACCGTGCCTGTCTGCCATAAGCCAACGTAAGCATATAAGCTTGGAGACAATATTCTGACCACGGCCTCATAAGAGCGATACATTGGGGTGGTAATCCAAGAAGACCTCGGCTGTTCAGCACAGTCTTTGAAGGCGTCCAAAACTACAAACCAACATCTTGATCTGTTACGGAGGGTGTTCAGGAAATTCGATCACTTCATCGCTCCCAAATGCTTATTGCGTATGTGGGGCCCCATGCAGAGTACGGGATCCAGGCTTGGCAACCCTCGTTAAAACGTGACCTAGTTGCACTCGAGGCCGCACAGCGAGGGGCAAAGAAAAAATTGTGAAGGACTTGTCCCATCTGCAATAATATAGGTGACTAAAACCCCTGGGAGCTTACAGCGGAAGATATCGCCTTCTATGAGATGACCTCATCTTGGCGTTCTAGATTTTGAAAAACCCGGTGATGTTTACCGATACCATCTGAATCTTAGCCGCAAAACAGAGTTGTGGGTTCATAAAGTAATACTTGCAACCCAATGCAGTCCGCTGAAGTGCTGCCGGAATTACTTATCCCTACTAGTTTGTCAACCGTGGATGGCTCTTCCGACTTTTGTCATTTCAGCGTTCAAGCTACTTATTTTTTAAAAAGCGACTCGAAGATGCTTTACATCATTTACATAACTTGATCTGATTTCTGTTAATTGAATGCGAGCAGACGCAGACAAACATGGTGCTCACCAACTCCACGAGATCTGGTCAGACGGATATACTTATGTGTTATCGTGAATAATATGGTGAGCCCATAGATGTGTTGTTCACTTTTGTGTAACTTCATTGAAATAACGCCATTCCACGCAGCCATTCCACGGAACTTGTCAAGCCTTGGCGTCTTTATCCGTATTATACCGTGGTTCCATTGTTCCGTAGTTAAGAATTTGATCGGAAATGGTCCGTGTTAGTTAAGATTGTTCGCTGCGAAGTTTTGTTGCATTTATGGTAAAACCGAACATTGCCATACTCTTTGTGGCTAACTTACAAAAGTTTAAGATATTTAAGGTATGAACAGAAACCTGATACACATGGTTGCAGAGGTTGCCGGCGTTCACTATAGTTCATCAGCTAGCTTTGTTCTGCCTTAGCAATGTTAAAGATGCATGGTGCTGAGAATAACGCAAATTTGTGTTCGCAAAATAGTAAATTATGAAATATTTGCTAAACTTTTTAGCAATAATTCCAGATTAATGGCAAACTTAGCATAGCCAAGTAGAGACTCAATACTGACAGTGTCTTTCAACTCATTGAACTTAGGAAACCGAATTAGATTCTCATTTGACGACTTTGACTTCCACATACTTCGTTTTGCAATACCACATTTGATGTTATCATAAAATTGTGTGATGGGTTTCTCTTGGACTGTTAGTTGCAAATTAAGCTTAGTCACTTTTACAATAATGTCGACAGAAATACCAGGTATTGAATATAACTTTCGCCCTTTTCCTTATCTATGCTGTGGAATTTGGTTACCAAAAATGTTATTATTACCCGTCTCAACACATAACATCTCTTCAGTAACTGTGACAGAGAAACCAGCGGAGTTCTGTGCAGAACTGCAAATCGGTAAACTAATTATCTATATCTTCCAAAAACTGGTTTAATTGACGGTGAAAGTGAGCACCGCCTTCGAACAACTTCATTATTTGTGTGACCAAACTGAGCGCGTCATCCAATTTTCAAATATTATATCGCTTGCATCGCAACTGCATCCAAGCTTATTCTTATGGGAGTATCAGATCAGAGTAAACGGATGGAACAACAGAGCGAACCAGACTGCCAATGGGCGTGACGGATTCTATTAATGGACACTGATTGGCAGATATCCCTGTGAATTGCTCACCGTTTGTTTAACTGAGTAAAAGTGGGATCACCATCGACTCAGAATGGTCGTTAGTCATGGATGTGAACATGCAACCTAGATCAAGGAGCTTGACTTACCAAACATGCTGTAATTTTCGCCCAGGTGACTTTGCAGAATAAGGGACAGTCTCTGGAGGACTGAGTTCTGCACCGATTATGTTGTACATTTAAGTGCCATTAAAATTGGATTGACTATTTCAAGATGTAAACCAATATGGAGTAAAAGAAAGCATACCAGTTTTCGGTAACGGCGCAACTATACACTGCTTAAATTATAAAAACTGCAATTTTGGTCGAAAGTGAGCGTTTTGCAGTATTGCTTGCGCGATCCCCAGGTGTGCTTGCAAAGGGTCGCATGCGGACCGTGGGCAGTGTGTATAACATTCCTGTGATAGACCATACCTCACAGTTATAATCAGTAAAAGATTTACAGAACTTACCATTTCACCAGTGTAACAACATTCTCATTGAACCACTGTCTAATTCGTACCATATATGGAAGATATTCTGCTTCATACCCAGAACCAGCGGCAATCTGTGATAGGCGAAAACTTGACGCATTTGCTATTACGCATGAGTAAATAATATATATATATATATATATATATATATATATATATATATATTTGTAATTGCAAACGAATGTTTCTAAATAGGTCGCACCAAGCGTAGATAGAAATCTGTTTATTCCTTACTGTACGTCGTGGATGAGAAAAGTTATGTGACTCGTAGTTGCAGTGTTGTATTTCTTTAAACAAAATGCTAGATTCTAAGGTAGTTTTTATGCAGTTGAACACTATTTATTTTTCAGTTAATAAGAAGCCCTAGAGTGCAGAAGTGAGGCATTTTACCTTGGAATTCCTTCAGTGCTTGCCAATTTCTGTCGTTTCTCTCTCCAGATATGGCAATCGTAAGACGATCATATCTCTTCGGAATATTTCTCTGACCTCCTCAGGAACACTGAACACAGTGACTTTTATAACAAACACAAATCACCCCCACTGTTATTTGCGCTAAAATATATAAGAAAACTAAGCGTTTAAGCACAAAACGAATTGGGCTGGTTCCTGTGTTGCTAGACTTACATGATTCCCATGATTCGTTAGTTCGTATTAAACGATAATATACGACATATCTGCAAGGAAAGGAGCTCAGATCCCCATTTCGCTGAAAGCCACTTCTCATGGCGTGGCGTTTCGTGTTCAGCAGCTTCCATACTTTGTGAGACTCATCGTCATCTTCATTCCACAAAATCCATGCTCCAAATTCATCGGGATGTACCTCCACGTGTAGCAGTAAGGGCCCGGTTGCCTTCACGGAGCCCGTTCCTTTGATATATCGCAACCTTGTAGTAGCCACCGCTGTTCCAACTACGTTTGAAGCCACACAATAGGCAGCATCATCAGCATCCTCGTAACCAGGATACTGTATAGAAAGGCTTCCATTTGCCTCTATCCTAGCATGTTTTGGCAATGGCTTGAATGCAGGTGAATTTCGCCAACTTTCCACTGTCGACGGTGAAGCAAAAGTTTCTTCATATGTTGCCTGTAGGACATTTAGACTGGGTTCTTCCAGAGTAGGGTCAAGTGAACTGACATGGAATCCAGGCAAATTTGCTGATTTGTCTGACTAGAGAATAAAGTCACAAAGGTTGGTTAAGTTGTAAATTAATGTGCATGCTAAGGTAACAACTTATGTACTTGCATTATTTGCTTAATCTTGACACACAACAAGCTAAGATGTTCAGCCATTATTGTGTTCTGGACCCTACTGGCTTTCGTAGTAGTGTCACTATATGCAGCTTGGTGAAACGGATATTCTAAGACATTTTCGTTTTGCTGCTGGAGCAAAGGCTTGTTATTTTGTATCGATTTAGAAGGTTGATTCTCATTGATTGCAAATGGATGGCACATAGTTCAGAGAAATATTACAGTGTGGGCGCGTCGGTTAAGACCGAATGTGAAGAGCTCTAGTCTGGGTGAAGTACACGTAAGTAGCATGAAATTCGTTACAGGTTTTCAGTGGACAGCGATTTGCAAATATCACTACAAAGCATAAGAATGCAAGCCATTTTATCGTAATTGGTTACAAGCCCATATATTCTGCGAAAGTTACTCTTAAATGTTATCTGGTTGGCAATTATCGAAAATTGGATACAGTTTAGCGCAGTTAATTCGTAATAACACAGGCTTTCATACGTCTGGAAAAGCAGCAGACGGCCCTTTTGACCTTCTGGGACCCGTCATTATTGTGTGTCTACTGGACACATGTCGGGTTCCGAGCCCATGACTTCCGGATGCCAGAAACTAGTGCCAGTAAGCTATGGGTGACGGCGATTGGCTTTCATCACTTACAGTTTATTACGATATCTCGCAGCTCATCCTTCAATATCATGCTGGTTAGGAACTATACACAGGGCTGTGTTTTGTCTATTGGCTAACACCCGGAACTCGACAGGAGTTCGAGGGACGCGCGCCCCAGACGAGACGCATATGGTCAAAAAGACCGTCTGGTGCTTTTCCAAATTTGAGGGAACCTGCGTTACTGAGAGGTGGTTTAAAAACGCTTTATCAAAGCAAACGGCTTCCGGTGGTATTAGTGAATACACATCTGGTTTGACAACACATGAACCTAAGTAACGCTTCTCCTGACTACCTATTCCCCCTGTTTTTGTCGTTATCCATGGATTGTGGTACTATTGCTCATGTCGACAAGGTACTCCTGATTTGGGCAACTGCTCATGATTCTAGAAATGTTTAAGGGACTCGCCAAAGTTGTGTCAAGGATATTCCAACTGTATCTCCAAACAGCCGCTTGTAGGTAACCAAATAATGGGTTTGCTTTCTACCAGCTACTGCTACTTAACTGCTATCAATCCCGCGCTGAAGATGCCACCTCGAATTGTGGCGAAAGGTTTGCAATCAATTTGCCCAGCTCGGAGAACTCCACAACGACTGAGCAAGCCTCCCGAGCTACCAATATTCCAAATCATTTCGAACATTTGTGTTTTCTATACGTAAGCATTGTGATCTACTGCAGCCAATTAGTAGCACACTATGAAAATAGTTCCTGTGGAAATATTTTATTCTCTCGTTGTCTGCTGATTGCTGTTAAAGTAGTCAACCTTGTCAGTTAACAATTGCTTGCTCAGCTGAAACTTCTGAGCGATGTTCATTTGTTTTGTCTAAGCCAGAGTCCATAGAGCGGAAATGATCAAACTTTGGATGGCGATTTAAAACAAAGCGTAGCGAGTATATATCATGTATTACGAAATAGCTACTTCCGGCTGATTTCCGTCTTTCTTCCTCTCATCAATTATAATTCTCTTTAATAAGGGGTTAAACCTACTAAAGACTATTTTTGCATCAATGCTCCAACAAAGGCGGCATTGCAAACAAAATGATAAAAGTTTAGCTTCCGAAAAGTTTGGCGAAAAAAACCTGTTTGCATAGCTTCTGTTCCACCGAAAACCTAATATGTGAGCCTTATGCTCAGATATTACCGATAGTATAATTCAATAGTCGAAAGTTGTCCATCCCATACTACCAAGTGACGAAATTAAATGCCTCATAATTAAAAAGAACTCCATACTATTTATCGCTTTGTCTTTATCTAACTGACTGAGGATACTACAAAGAGATGTAAGACGAAATTATGTCGCTTGTCAACCGGGAACTGGTAGCCTTACCCCTACAGTCCTTTGGCTAGGGTGATGTGTTGGCTGTCATAATAAATTAGAACCGGAAAGGAGAAACTTCCCTAACTTAAATACGCATCAAACGGAGTGGGTTTTGTCTACAATGTTTGCTGTCTACGTCCATCCTAATCTGCCGCCCGACAGAACGACTGGCGTGTGGGCATTGACCAAGCAAATGACAAAGTTGTACAGCGCAGGTCTTGTTTGAAATAGTTGGCAAGTATCAGCGGCAAATACTGCCTCTTGACCATGTTATGAATAGAGCAGATTTGGTAAACGTACAAAGGTTGACCGAGTTTCATTCTGTTCTCAATGTGTTCATCTTAATTGATAACCCAATTCTCGCGCTTTATGTTACCCTCCGTAAAATTGCATTTTACTACATTGGGAGTAATTAGCTCCGGGTTGAGTACTACGGCCCTAGAAACATAAAAAAAACGGAAGTTTGCATTCAACTCAGGAAAATTAAACGATGCGTGACTGTAAGTTCAGTTGAGCTTTTTCAGCATCAGTTCACATGCTGTTGTGAGGTAATTATGGACTAGTAAGCAACTACTCTCTAAGAGATGGCGTAAAGAAAAAGTTCTATCTCCATAGATAAACTCGCTTCTCACTCTTAGGATAAAGGTTAAACACCATAGAATAACCGGTCTAATATCGGTTGCCTTTATATTGTTAGCGTCGGTTATACTCTCTAGGCTAAATCAAATTTAGTAACTGCACTGTAGTGTAGGTTAGCCTACTGTCTGCACTGGTCGAATTTGTGTGGATCGCATTCTTTTGTAAAACCAGCTTCTCGAGCACAGCCACATAACCGATGATATTCGATTACCTTATTTTTGAATATTTGTTTCTTGTAACTCTATCACTTGGTTTGCTTTATAAACTATCCGAAAAGAACTGGTAGGCGTGAATACATCTCGATTCTCGAACAGTGTACTTTAGTATCATGGTTAAAACAAGGGCATATGGTGAGCTGTCGTCAGCTTTCGCCGTCAATGATTGTGCTCAGTTCTACTATGGTTGTACCTCACTGTATGCTTCGGATGGCCCCAAATGTTGTATTCTATGGATTCCTTCAGAAACTGCACTGCTGACATCAAATTTTAACGACAGCAACTTGTTTCTTGACGAGATTAGTGTATGCAACTAATTCTAGGCCACTTAGAGATTGTTCTCGATGATTCTCTTCAGATCATTACAATCATATTTGAGGGTAAAATAATGAACTGAAATCGACTCGTTGGCTCGAATTACATAGTTAATTAACGGTTCAGTAAAGGGGGAAAACCGTTGACCTTTGACCTGACAGGTCGATTGCATGATACTGAACTTGATCTGTGACAGTCGACTTCAACATCGTTCTTTCTAGCTGGCCAGGGAAGCTGTAAGGCATGGAGCAACTTCTTTTGTGAGCATAATGAAGGTTGAAACAACCGAATGTCCCGACACGGGGCACCAAGTCGAACTAAAGCGTGCCTTCAGGATAATTTAAAGAGTCCCCCTGCATCAATCAAGAGGTTTGCGCCTCCGTGCGCTCGCGACAGCTGAGTCGATTTGCGTTCGGTTGCTTCAACCTTCATTATGCTCGCAAAAGATGTTGCTCCATGCCTTACAGCTTCCCTGGCCAGCTAGAACGAACGATGCTGTGGTCGATTGCTACAGATCAAGTTCAGTACCATGCAATCGACCTGTCAGGTCAAAGGACAACTTTTAGCCTCCCTCACTGAACCGTTAATTAACTATGTAATTCGAGCCAAAGAGTCGATTTCAGTTCATTATTTTACTCTTAAATATGATTGTATTGGTCTGAAGGGAATCATCGAAAACAGTTGTTCACCTATGGTCTCGTGTTCTTTTGACTTCAAATGGGAATTTTCAAGTCACTTAGAGATTGTAACGACGAACCGTCATAAAATATCCGATTCTCATAAACATGTGATGCATAATACGAAGGGTAGCTCGCGTGTTGCCTATACGCTACAGTAGCAACCTCCAATTTGTATTTCGGAGCTTAAGTAATAGGAGCCTTCGACATAAAATCTCGCATCTCTATTCACCTAAAAATTCGACGCAGCAGCTTCCAAATCAAACAGCCCTCCACTTGTCCGAAAAATCACTAGGCGGTCGTTTTGAGGATGCGACGCATTATGCCAGAGTCAGCTTACAGATTATGACGGTCCACGGCTGTTCGCTACGGCCCAGTGACATAATCAGCTTAATGACGGTTTAAGCTGCTGGTTGTCATTGGTTAGAACCATGATGGAGCAGATGGGTTTATGTTATAGACGAGGCGCAACAATTCAAAACAGCCGCCTAGGTCGTTTTTGGGCTCGTGGAGGATTATCTCAGTTAGAAGCTTTGCGAAAAATTGTAAATTAATAAAATCGGTCGTTAGTTGCTGTATAGGGGATGGAACTAACAGAAACAGCACAATTCACCGTCTGATAAAACACGCTACGATAACTTTTGTCTATCGCTGTTACCAGAGAGGTATTAGGTCTGGCTATTAATTAAAAACCGTTCATAAATTCGTACGACATTATAAACTAGTTCACTCAACCGGAGGGCACAACCCTCTCAAGAAGCATACAATCCTAATATCGTTCATTAGCGAATAAATGTACATAAGTAGAGATATTAATTCTGTCTAACTGGGGGGTTGTGCTGTACATTTATCATTAATGATAATACTAATACATATATTTCTGTTGATGAAAGAAACTGTGTCTATGACGGCACAGATCAATTTGTACAGAAGTATCCATGCTGTTGCATGGGTGACATGCATAGGTGGAGTATCGGGATAGGCGTTTCATGTATTAACATTCTGGCGGATGATTGAGGCCAAAGCCTAGTTATGAAATCATTGGTGTTAAGATGTTTTGGGCCCCTCTTGCAATAGCTCATCGAGGAATTTTTCCCATGTGCA